CTGTATTCTGGGATTACTGTAAGTTACTGCATTCCGAAGTTACTGTATTGTTGGATACAGTATTCTATATCAAAGAGCACTGATAAGCACTGATAAGCAGTGATAAGCACTGTGATAACGACGCAACTGTGATAAGACTAAATCCGATTTGGATACTGTAATTGTACTGTAATTTATGCGCTAACTGTATTCGTTAACTGAGATTACGGTATTCACTGTACTTTATAAGTTACTGTAATTCTACAGTATCCTTTCTATTCGTCTTACTGTATTTGCCAAAAGATACTGTATCGGTTACTGTAAATTTTGGCGGAGTGCCATATCGCGGACACTGCATAGAAGAGGTCTTTTTTCGCTAACTAACTAATAAATTGTTACTGTATAAGTGGGCATACTGTAAAGGGTTACTGTATCGTTACTGTATTGTTACTGTATTCTCGGATACTGTATTACTTTACTCTGAACTGTAGAAGTACCCTGCTGATTCCGCATGAATCTACTACTATCGTGGTATTGTGTCGTGGTGCTACTGTTGCTGGCCTATGAAGCGAACGGCTTGAAGCGGCGTGCCGCCATACGGTCAAAATTTGTGGCCGTGGAACAACTACAGAAACGACTGGAAAAAAAGGTAGGCGCGTAATTCGGGAGACCTGAAATTGCGGCAGCCCTAAATTAAAAAACTGAAGTACCACAGTCTGAAGTACCCCTTTTCCCCACTTCCCCGAAAATAATCACCCTAGAATTCAATTCAGTATCTTTTAAAATCAAGGGGGAAATGCCTCCTAAAACTACTGTGAGAAAATATATTTTTCCAAAATTTTTCTCAAGGAAAATTGATTTTTCAAAATTTGTCATTTCCCAAGTAATTTTTCATTTCCCAAATGATTTCTCATTTCCCAAATAATTTCTCATTTCTCAAACAATTTCTCATTTCCCAAACAATTGCCCGAGAATTACCCTTTCATTAATTTTTCAGCCATCTCACACCCTCAACAACCACCCCCTACACATCAATCCGGACTCGACATTCTATGGGGTTGGCAGCAGTGGAAATTACGATAGCAATAATAATAATAATAACAATAATAAAAACAACAAACACAATAACGATCAAACAAATAGCCATGATCAGAGTATTGAAGATCAGCAAATCGATTCAATCGAAAATTTGGTTGATGCAGATTTAAGACAACCGGCTGGCACTAACGACGATAGTAATAGCCAGCTGGCTGCAAGTGACTATTCATACGGAGACGTGCTGAGTGATCCGGGGATTTGGGAGGAGGCTGAGGCGGAAATTGAGGCGAATTTTGGCGCGGACGAATTGGGCGCGGCGGCAAACTCGGATTACTTGTATGAGACGGAGGCGGTGGGCGCGGCTGGCACGAATGAGGAGGCCGCGAGATCCGATGGATCAAAAGAATTTGCTGAGCCGTCAGATTTTGGGGTTGAGTGGCCGCCATCAGATGAATCTGGAGAGAATTTTGCCCAAATGGCATTGGCACGAGCCGACGAACCTCATCGATCACCAGCACCATTGCCCGGCATACCAGGTAATCATATTTACCCGTAGAAGTCACTAATGGGTAAAATTTTTCCCCTAAACCTACCCTGTTTTCCCGGGAATTTGGGTAAAATTTGCGCTTTTTGCCAAGAGTTCAGGTGCCACAGGTACAGAGAGTTCAATTTTCACTTCGGTCATGGTATGGTACCTGTGGTTTATATTTAAAGTTGAAAAAAATTTGAATTTTTAAAATTATTTTTTGAATTCAGGTTTCTAATTTCAGGTTTATCACCGATAGCGTCGAATGAACCTTTAGGCGATGACCCAAAAGCTGGAGAATTTGCACAGAGTCAAAAATGGCGACGAGAGCCTTACCCGTGGTCAGACTTACGTTTCCCGGGACGGGAATTCGCTTGGGAACCGCATGAGATGGCAGATGTGGATTACCCAGAACGTGGGCAACAGCAACATTTGGGAAGGCAGCATAAGTCGGTGGACGTGAGTGGAGCCGTTGACGAGAACGAGCACAATCCGGGAATGTTCGTTCGAGTCACCCATAAAGCGTTCAATTTCATCGCGGTGGTACGTGGAAAATTTTGGGAATTTTTTCAAATTCACCTGGAAAAAAGGAAAAAATTCAGGGAATTTTTTCAAATTTCTGGAAAATTTTTTGGAAATTTCCATAAAAATTTGTAAAAATGAAAAATTTTTTCAGAATTTGATGCGAAAATTCGAAGAGGAAATCACTGATCAATCCCTAA